TGTCTGAGGGACATCAACCCGGCCCCTGGCTCAAAAAGGTTGCCTACCTCTGCCCTAGATGAATACAGATGTTGCAAAACTGCTCAGTTCTATTTCATGTACTCTCAAGTATACTTATAAAAATTTAAATCCCATACCAGCCATTCCAGACATTATTTATTGCAGAGAAAATATTTTCTCCACAAAAATTCCAGAATAAGTTGTGCAGAATAAGGGTGCATCTAAACTGTAGAATTAATGCAGTTTGGTACTACTTTAAGTGCTGCAGCTTGATCTTATGGAATCATAGGAACAGTAGTTACATGAGATCTTTATTTGTCTCTGCCAAACCATGTTGGTGCCTCGCAAAACTGCAAATCCCCAGATTCTGTACATTGGAGCTATGGCAGTTATAGTGGTGTCAGAGTGCATTATTTCTACAGTGTAAATGCACCCTAAATCTTGAACTGTTAATAGTCTTTGAAAACTGCACTGTTTTCAAATATCTTCTCACTGCAAGATGAATATTGCTAAAATTACTCATTGCTTCTTTTGAGCAGAAAATTAGCAAAGAATTGCAGCTCTGAGAGTCAGTGAGCATCTTTTTTCCCCACCTGAGATAATAATAATAATATAATAATAAAAATTTATTTATACCCCACTCCTCTGAGCACAATCGCAGCAGCTAACAACAGTTAAAAATACGTAATATACAATCCTAAAACCAGTACCCACCCCCTTTAAGAAAGTATTAAACTAACACTAATTAAAACATATTAGATAAAAACATAAAATTAAATAAAACCAAATTACCCGACAAAGAACAGCAACAGCGGAGATGTAGCCTCATCTTTTGAAATTGTCACACACATCCACACTGAGGTGGAATATCCACATAAGGCATGACTGTAACATCTAACATGTTTAGGAAAATAAAATAAATTACAATATTGCATTTTAGGTAAAATTCCTATGAATTGTTGCTCTCCCTTCTCCTTGGGGGATCAATATTTTGTTTTGGTTTATATACATTGGGTTCCATATGCATAGATTCTATGTGGATAATCTGAACCTGCAGAAAGAGAATAAATTAAGAGTCTCCCCCTGTTTTGGTTTTATTCCCTTTAAAAACAACAACAAATAACTGGGTATATTATAATGCCTTTGATTTTTTTTTCTTCCAGAGGTAATCTTAGATGTGGAGTGAATGAAGTGGAGTCCGTTATCAAGCTCTAACATCTGCTGCAGTGTCAATTGATGAAACTAGCGACTCCAAAGTCCAAGACAGCTGGGATGGCTTTCTTAATACAGTTGGGTATTGTGCAAACAAACAGGCGCTGATATGGTCTACGGCTGTCACAATTATTCAGCCGAGTGATACATCTTCCTGTATTTGCAGCTTGAACAGTCCTATTTGGGTTTGTTTGTTTGTGTATTTGTTTGTTTGGGGGGAGGAATTTTTTTCTCATAACAAGGGGGGAAAAAGTTAACTGCTGCTTACCAAATTGCTACTAAGTTCTCCAATCTCAAATTAGGAATGGGTGGAGGGATGTTGGAAGGGGAAAAAAATTAAAAGTGAGCACCGGAGCAACAAAGCATCCACTGAAATACACTGAAGTTGTGGTGGTAAAAAAACAACAATCAGCCAACTGCTCTCCAT